GGTCTGGGGAAATGAAAAAGGGAAAAAAGTTTCGGTTGCTGCCCAAATCTGATGATCGGGGAAAGAAGGATGGGGAAGAAGGGAGGAAGAAAACAAGAAAAGAGAAACCTTTACAGCTCTGTTCCTAGGGAGAGGCTGAAAATGTTGGCCATAGAAACCCAGGGCACTTCCAAATGAAGTTTTTAATATTTGACATTTTATTGTGTTTTATCTGTGCTGGAAGCCACCCAGAGTGAGTAGAGTATAAATAAAATAAAATATAATAGCAACAGCAACAGCAACAGCAACAGCAACAATTTATTTTTATTTTTATTTTTATTTTTATTTTTATTTAGCATACATCCTGATTGGTTTGCAGGGCGATTACACAATGTGGGCTATTTGGTGAGCATGCATTCTGATCTGTGACGTTGCATCAAAGGAAACACACCATTTCCCCCTGCATTTCCTGGTCACTTTCCTTCCTGCAAAACGTCCGATCTTCTTTTTGAGGGTGGGTGGGGGATAAGTGGACTTGTCGTACGAGACGTCCCGATCCGTTGCAACGGTGCAACCCGAATTTATTCATTTATAAAAGTATTTCTATCTTGCCAGTTTATGCAGTACAGCACAGCAGTGCGCTACAATATATACATGATGACTGGCTAATAAATAAATAAAATCTAAACAGCTGCAAGGTCTGTCAGCTTTAACAAGTCTTCAAAAGACGCCTGAAAGTTGGAAGCAAAGGTGTCTGTTGCAACTCTGCTGGAAAACTGTTCCACATCATAGGACTGGCAATGTGAGTGAGTGAGTGAGTGAGTGAGTGAGTGAATCTTTATTTGTGTCAATCATCGGCCATAGCAATAAAATAACAATACGCTATACAGAGAATAGAAATAAAAAGTCAATTATCTAAAATACATTTTTGGGTTTTGAATCAATAGTCAAATAGTGGATCTTATTCTAATTGCCCCAGCTAAAAACCTTGCAACCTTTGCTGTCACCTGCTCATCTTGATCTGCCAAGAGAAAGGACACTGCGGAAGTGGCTGGGCGACCCAGAATGGACAATAAAAGAGGGGTGACAATCTCATTCCTCAAGTCTTTATGAAATGTGGAAGCCAGAAGGGCATGCGCCACCGATTCGGTACTGCCATCTCCACAGGGACATAAGCTTTTTTCGTGTGGAATCTGTTGGAATCGTCCCTCGAGTACAGCCGAGGGCAATATAGTCAATCTTGCAAGAGTAAAAGCACATCCATATTTTAGAATTGTTTGAACTAGAGGGGAGGCTAGTCCAGCCTTCGTAACACATGGGGCAATGAGCCTCTTGGGCTTGCTGATTGGAAGGTCGGCGGTTTGAATCCCTGTGACGGAGCGAGCTCCCGTTGCTCTGTCCCAGCTCCTGCCAACCTATCAGTTCGAAAGCACACCAGTGCAAGCAGATAAATAGGTACCATTGCGGCAGAAATGTAAACAGTGCTTCCATGCGCTCTGGCACTCGTCATGGTCCTCTGTGCACCAGTAGTGGTTTAGTCCTGCTGGCCACATGACCTGGAAAGCTGTCTGTGGACAAACGCCAGCTTCCTCGGCCTGAAAGCGAGATGAGCGGCGCAACCCCATAGTCGCCTTTGACTGGACTTAACCAGCCAGGGGTCCTTTACCTTTTACCTTTTTTTACCTATGGCTTGTCTTATCATTCTACTTTTTCTTTTCACCTTGATGCAATATTTCTGTTTGTGTGTGTGTCTATTTCTGTGTCGTGCGTTGCTTGATTTCGATTCGGCATCCAGACATATCATTATTTTTTAGCCAAGGGCGGTGAACATGGCAGTTTTCACCTTTGCTGCAGCTTTCGGTGCAAATCATGTTTTCAATTTGTGGGTTTTTTAAATAATTTAAAAAATCCAGTGCATCTGAAGCTGCAAGGAGCTTTTTAAGAAAACCACCTTCTCTCCTGTTGGATAATTTTGCAAAACCTAATTGGAATGAAACTTCTAATGCCCCCAGGCTGTGCTGTTGCAAACACACACAGAGAGAGACACACACAAATGTGTGTGTGCATGCACACAGTCAGAGAGAGATAGAGCTGCAGCCGCCCTTGGAATATAATTTTTGAGCTCCAATACGCGGTGGGTGTTGAAAAGACCTTCGATATTGTGGAGTGTGAAAGTTTGGGGAAATAATATCTCGGAGCCATTCTCCACCTCATTAAGACACTGATGCTGCGCTCTTTATGCAAAATGTTTAGCAACTGGAAAATGAGGAATGAAGCTGCCTTGCACAAGCCATTAATTCTGAAGCGGTTTCACAGTAGTCTTCTTAAAGTGCAGACAATTATTCCGGAGCCAACGGTTTGCAGATTGCAGCCTATCCCAGCAATTCTTCATTTGTGTACTGCGAGAGATCTGCTAGCATGCCATAAGAAATGAACAAATCAAAATTCTCCTGCGAGGCCGAAAACTCCCACTCACAAAGGGATGTTCTGACCTCCTTATATTAAGCCTGATTCATTTGTCTGTTTGTTTGTTTATTAAACTTAATTTTATTGTTATAATTAATTTCATTTCTATGCCGCTTCATATTTTAAAGGGGGGGAAATCTCAGAGTGGTTTACAACTCATTAAAACAGCACATTAAACAATCCTGAATAATAATAAAGATTCAAGCGTCAAGGAAAATATTTCAGATCCTTCTCTAAGCGACATTTTGCTTTCCCCATATTATTTACCTCCTTGATTTATAAAGCTGCTCCACAGCAGAAGTACTCAAGGAAGGCAGTGGGGTGTAGTGGTTAGAGTGCCAGAGAGACCAGGGTTTAAATTCCCACTCAGTCATGAAGCTCCCTGGATGAACTTGGAGATGCAAAAAAGAGGAGGGGTCATAGTATCATATGTGGTGGACATGTGTAAAGGTAAAGGTAACGGGACCCCTGACCATTAGGCCAGTCGTGGCCAACTCTGGGGTTGTGGCGCTCATCTCACTTTACCGGCCGAGGGAGCCGGCGTACAGCTTCCGAGTCATGTGGCCAGCATGACTAAGCCACTTCTGGTGAACCAGAGCAGTGCACGGAAACGTCGTTTACCTTCCTGGGTGACCTGGAGTCAGTCGCAGCCCCTTAACCTACCTCACAAGGTCATTCTGGGGATAAACTGAGGAGGGAATGGAGACCATGGACTCCTTGGGGGGAAAGGTGGGATAGAAACGCAATAAGCTTTTTTTAAAGTCCTTATGAAAACTTTACATATTCCTCCTAATAGCCACATGCAGATTTTGCAATGTGTATGAAATTTTGCATCAGGTGCACACTATTGCAAAGCAGTTCCTGCTAACATAATGCATTTCATATGTTATTTTCACCAATATGTTCATTTTAAAAAGATGTGCTTTTTAAGAAAAAAACTTTGGCTGGCAAACTGCATTGCAAATTTGGAGATGTGGGAATTCCCCGGAATAGCTGTGTTTCAGTTCTTAAAGTGTTTCAGAAACTGGGAATTGGGTTGGTTCAACTTTCTCCCTCAATATGTCTCTTGTTCCATCAGAACAATGATTTCTCCTTCCACCGTGGAATGTTCTCCCCCCACTCTCCTTCCTCCTATGCCCCCCTCGGATCGGATCTTGGGGTTCCCTGAACCCTCTGGGACAGATTTGGAGAGGGTGTGGGGCATGCGCAGGGAGGGAAGGTAAAATCCGGTTGCGCAAGTGGAAATCCTTGCAATAGGGAGACATGGTAGTCAAGTCCTACTCCCAGTATCTCCAACAGTACTGGATTTACGTATAAGCTAAACAAGCTATAGCTTAGGGACCCACTCTCTTGGGGTGCCCTCAAAAAAATTAAAGTGGAAAAAACTGGATGTTCATTTCCAAAATATAAGATAAAAATAAAATAAAACCTACATACAGCAACAGTGTTTTGTGTTGTGTAGGCTCCTATGATGTAAGTCATGGGCCCCGCCTGCTAGCCTGCTCCCTAAAATATCACTAGTTTGCTCATTTCTATATAAAGGGTGCTTACATTCTGCATGGACTGGTTGTAACAATTACTTTGATAAAATGCATATTTTGCTATGTGCAAATGGCTTCAGAGACCTATTAAGTCCATAAGTTACCATATAGCATATATTCAACACAAAAAACAGCAGCAATTTGATGTTGACAAGGTCAGCTGGACTTATAAAGGCCCCCATTACCTTCAGTAGCTTAAGGTAAAGGTAAAGGTAAAGGTCAAGGTAACGGTCAAGGTCCATTAGGTCCAGTCGTGACCGACTCTGGGGTTGCGGCGCTCATCTCACTTTACCGGCCGAGGGAGCCGGCGTACAGCTTCCGAGTCATGTGGTCAGCATGACTAAGCCACTTCTGGTGAACCAGAGCAGTGCACGGAAACGTCGTTTACCTTCCCTCTGGAGCGGTACCTATTTATCTACTTGCACCTTGATGTGCTTTTGAACTGCTAGGTTAGCAGGAGCAGGGACCGAGCAATGGGAGCTTACCCCGTCGCGGGGATTTGAACTGCCGACCTTCTGATCAGCAAGCCCTAGGCACGCATCAGTAGCTTCATCAAACCTAAATCCAGCTCTGATCTCCAACCAGGAATGGCTGCTCTGCAGACCATTTCCACCAGAGAGATGGAATTTGGCCCCCAGTCAAAATGATTCACAGAAACCCATGCACATTGGACATGAAGCCTCAGTTCCTGTGTCTGTTGAGAACGCCACTCTGCCAGCAGAATTTAGAAGAAGGAAAGAGTCGGAATCCTTGCTGAACTGCTGGAATCACTCCGATCCAGCAGATCCCAGTCTAATATTTTTTTCCCAAATCTTGACATAGGAATGCGGGGGGGGGGGGAGGGAGTGTGAAAATTCTGCAGTCTTATTAATATTCTAATCCTTAATATTTACTACCACCTATTCTTTTTCTGTCCCTAAGCCCATTTGTTACTTCCAAGAATTTTCTAATTATCTTCTATCACAATATTTAGCTAAATATTCTTTAAATTTCTTCTTGCCTTCGCCTCTTTAGGAGCATCCGATGCCTTCGGAATATTATCCACTGGAATCTGATCACCACGTTCATCCTGAGGAATGTGATGTGGTTTTTGCTGCAGATGATAGATCACGACATCCACGAAAACAACGAGGTACTAAATCATCCTCATCCTCATCATCATAGAATTAAGCATCTTGCAGTTGGCTTGCAAGGATTGCAGACCAAGCAAAGCAGTAGAAATTGAAAAGCATCTCCTGGTCTGCCCCGCAGAGGACCTTAAGGTCCATGAATAATCATAGTTTAGAGGCCCCGGGCCCTAAGGAAGTCAGATTATCCTCCACCAGGGCCAGGGCCTTCTCAGTGATGGCTCCAACCTGCCCATCATCCCTAGCTATCAGTGGTCAGATGTTTTGGGACTACAACTCCCATCATCCCTAGCTATCAGTGGGAGTTGTAGTCCCAAAACATCTGGAGGGCCGAGTTTGCCTATGCCTGCCTTATACTGAGACAGACCTTTGGTCTATTGAGCTCAGTATTGTTTACGCTGACAGCAGCTCTCCGTAGATTCAGAAGGGGTCTCTCCCATCCCTACCCAGAGATGCAGGGGACTGAAGCTGGAACTTCTGCATGCAGGATACGTCCTCTGCTGCCAGGCTATGGCCACTGAGCTAGGGAGGGACTCAGAAACATAGCAGGAATGGAATGGACCATCCTGGGAGAGGCTGGCTGGCTGGCTGGCACTCTAAGCAGAAGTACTCTGCACTGCAACATTTTGTTGCAGACCTCGCTTGTTTTATATGTACTGAACACACACACAAATGCATTTTATTCCCAAAGTTTTAGACCCTGCTATATGTATTCATTTTCTCCCCCCCCCCCCCAGTAGTCTGATCCTTACAAGAACTTTAAAGTAATTTATGATGCTACACCTCACCCAGGTCTTGATGGTACCTTGAGAAGAAGGAAGGGGAAACAAATTCAATCCATTAATCTTTTTTCCCCTAGAAAACATCATTCCTATAAATAACCCCTGCCTCTTAGACAGGGTCCAGTCCTAAATAATAGGATTGTGCCAGACTGAATTATAGCCCCTCCTTGTCAACGCCTCAGAATTATGGTTTTCACCTCATTCTGCCTTAACTCATCACTCCTTTTCTTCTGTTATCCTGGACAACGTCCCTCCGGCAAATATTCTGGGCCAGTCCTGGCTCCCCCCCCCCAACTCGCAAAGACTCCTGGGAGATGTGGTTTCTTAGAGGGAGTGAGAGTTGTTAAGAGAAACCACCCCCCTCACCCCCCTCACGGAACTACAGTTCCCAGAGTTGTTTAACAACAAATCCCTCTTCCCAGGGGACTCTGGGAATTGTAGCTCTGTGAGGGGACTGGGGGGGGTCTCCTACCAGCTGTGAGCACCCTAGGACCCACATACCTACAGGACCGCCTCTCCTGGTATGCCCCACGGAGGACCTTAAGGTCCACAAATGACAACACTTTGGAGGTCCCAGGTCTCAAGGAGGTTAGATTGGTCTCAACTAGGGCCAGGGCCTTTTCAGTACTGGCCCCGATGTGGTAGAACGCTCTGTCACAAGAGACTAGGGCCCTGCGGGGACTTGACATTTTTCTGCAAGGCCTGCAAGACAGAGCTGTTCTGCCTGGCCTTTGGTTTGGACTCAGTCTGTCCCTTATGTTTCCCTTCCCTTATGGTTTTTGATCTATGGGCTACTTTTAAAATGAGGCTGCATTTTAAATTGCATTTTAACCTGTATTTTAAATTGCCCCCCCTATTATGTTTTTATTGTAATTTTACTGGTGTTAGCCGCCCTAAGCCCGGCTTTGGCCAGGGAGGGCGGGGTACAAATAAATTATTATTATTATTATTATTATTATTATTATTATTATTATTATTATTATTAACAAACCACAGCTCCCGGGATTCTCTTTGGTGTAAGCCAGACTACATAAAGTGGCGTCCTAGTTCTTTGAATCATAGAACTGTAGAGCTGGAGGGGACCCTGAGGATCATCTAGTCCAACCCAAGAATATACAGCTGTCCCTTAAGGGGATCGAACCTGCAACCTTGCCATTATCAGCACCACGCTCTAACCAGCTGAGCTATCCAGTACATAGTGCAGATGGTGTCAAAGCCCATCTGAATATAGCTAGGATGCTGGACCAAGATGGGTCATTGACCTGATTCCCCCAAGCGATTTATTTGCCTCTTAAATGAGTTCCAGGTAAATTGAGAATGGAAATGAATTTATCTACTGATCACGAGAAGCTCATTCTTTGCCTCTTAATTGCATGGGCGAGAGAGGGAGGGTGGGCTACCCTCACTTATTTCCCCCCCGCATGGAAATCTTTCGTGTTTTGTGCAAATGAAGCCCAGAGTTCGGGTTCCTCAGGGAGACAAGACAAGGCCTCTCTTTTAGCTCAGCTTAATCAGCTGGCTGTATAATTTTATGTCTCTCCGAAAAGGAGAATTGATTAGTACCTGTTTAAGGAATGGTATGTCTAATCACATGCTTCGTGAGCTGTGAGCTTGCGAGTCTGGAGGGAATCAAGCCATTTTCTTCATTTTCTGAAGCGGAAACTTTTTAAAAATAATAATAATAATGTATTTTTAATTAATTTTTTTTCAAATAGAGTCATTCAGATATAGGAGCCTAGGCCGTTGCCCTATAACATTTCAGATCCTTGGCCCATCTAACACAGTATAGCATTTCTAGTCCCTTCGGATGGAAAAATCTGCTCCAATGTTGTGGGCAACACCTGCTGATTCTCAACAGACAAAGGGTTGGGTGGATATTATTTCCATTCGTTAGGGAGCAGGGAATCAGTGCATTCTCAAAAACCTAGCACCCCACACCATGATAAATACTGCAATCCTATATATGTCTACTCATAAGAAAGTTCCATTGCTTTCAATGGCGCTCACCTGAAGGTATATATCAGGCATAGGCAACCTCGGCCCTCCAGGTGTTTTGGGACTACAACTCCCATGATCCCTAGCTAACAGGACCAGTAGTCAGGGATGATGGGAATTGTAGTCCCAAAGCATCTGGAGGGCCGAGTTTGCCTATGCCTGGTATATATGGATGAGACCTGGCAGACCCTGCTCAGCCAAAAAAAACAACCCTACCCTAAGTCTATCATGGATCTCTCAGTCTAGTCTACCTTACAAGGTTGCTGTGATCATTGAAGGACATGTCAATGTGAAAAATGCAAAATAGATTTCTGCAATTATTTTCATTTGTATATTGCGGGCGCACAATAAAAAGTCTTGTTTAAGCCGAATTATCCCAGCAGGTCGGGAATATTGCAGATATTAATATTGCACAGTTTAAAGCAACTGGATGCATAAAAACTAACTCCTTTTGAAATAAAAACATTGCCAAGGCCCATAAGTTTAATTAAAAACTTTACTTGCAGAACTTTCTTCATACCATAACAGAAACATCAAATGATACATCCAGACAGTTCCATAAGACATACGCCAGTCCAAGGCATAGGCTCCAAGTACCTGACAAAATATGAAATAATTCCAACAGAAATAATTCCAACAGACCTAGAAGCAGAGGTCTGATTCTCCCCACAGCCTGTATTCCATCCGGCATCCTGTTTTAGGCTGTTTACCTGGAGAGCTTCATTTATATCTCACAGAGTCTGGGAACAAAAAAAATTGGCAAATGCCACCCTTCCAAGACGGCAGATTTGCAATTCAATACCTCTCATGTGATCTAAGGTTAAACACTCCTGTGCTAGCTAACAGAAAACAACTATAGTACATTATCGACTCAGTTAGAGTTCAGAGTCCTATTCTTGCCATCAGTGTAGCCCCATGGAAAATCCCCGTGTTAAAGCCTTCATGAATACACATAGCCATTCCCATTTCAGTGTCAATTAAACCAATTATACTTGACGAGGAAGTGTTCACCTGCCCTGTAGGCCTCACCTGTGCTTCCCTTCTGCTTCCCTTTCTAGCTGTGGTGCCGGTGCATCACAGCCATCTTCAACTACTTTGTGGTGACCAATTTCTTTTGGATGTTTGTGGAAGGCTGCTACCTGCACACGGCCATCGTCATGACCTACTCGACAGACAAGCTGAGGAAGTGGGTTTTCCTCTTCATCGGATGGTGTAAGTAACACGCCGTAGGCTTGTCTAAACAAAAACAAAAAATGTTTTAAGGACTCGCAGAGAAGAGCCACCTGCCTGATATCAGTAGGCAGGGAGGTCCAAAGTGTGGGTGCTGCCACGCTAAAAAAAACCCAAGTCCTTACAAATGCAGAACAGATATTATGGGGCAGCAGTAGCAGTGCCAAGTCTGCCAGTCAAAGCGGTCGAGTGGGCGTTTGTGGCTGGGAGAAGGGGTAGGTACCATAGCTGTCAACCGTCCCTTATTTGGCGGGAAACTCCCTTATCCCAGCGTCGTGTCCTGCTGCTGTCCCTTATTGATGATGTCCCTTAAATTTCCTGGATTTCATGCTCGCCCGGCTCAGGATGGAAGCAGCAGCTCGGGGTCCTCCGCCGCTAGAGAGCGTGTGCGCACGAGCTGCCATGTCTCCGTCTCTCCCTTTTCCTCCTCAGGGGCGTGTCGTGAGGAGACGGGTGGCGGTGGGCGGGCAGGCAGCCCCTCTCTTGTGAGACTTCCACCACGCTGCCAGGGGAAGCCGGAGGCGGCAGCGGCTGCTGAGGAGGCGGCCTGAGGAAGGAGGAAGAGGAGGGGATGGGGAGGGATGCAGAAGGGCAGCGCTTCAGCAGCCGCCGTGGCACCGCAACCGCCTCATACCAGGCTCGCGAGCAGTGTGGGCGAGAGTCTCTCTCCCTCCCTCCCTCTCTCTTGGGCGAGGAAGGGCCAATGGAACTCCTCGCTCCAGGACGACGGCAGCCCCGACGTGCTGCTTAGCATCCCCTCCAACCAGTGCAGCATCTTAATGTAGTGATTTCCCCCTCTGCATCCCTTTCATAACTCTATTTTTATAAATCATTTGTCCATCCATAGTTCAAATTTTTACAAGTTTTCTGTCAATCCTACCAATGTATGTAACTCTTTACAATAGCTTTTCAACTAAATTATAAACTTTCCCCATTCTTTATGAAAGAGGTCCTCTTCCTGGTTTCTAATTCTGCCTTGTAAGCTTTGCCATCTCGACATCGTTCATCAGTTTTGTCTGCCACTCTTCTTTGGTCGGAGTTGTAGGCCCTTAGGATCATCTAGTCCAACCCCCTGCAAAACACAGTCAGTCGCAGCAAAAGCAGCATGGCTCCATCAGTGCTGGATTTCTGTATAAGCTAAGCAAAACCCCTTATTTTGGCTGCTGATGCCTTATTTTTGAGGCTGCTGGTCCCTTATTTTCAAATCTGTAAGTTGACAGCTATGGAAGGTACGAAAGGGGGTGAAGGTGTCCATGGGGTTTGTGTGTGTGTGTGTGTGTGTGTGTGTGTGTGTGTGTGTGTGTGTGTGCAAAGGGGGCTGCACAACAGCAGAGAGAAGGCACACTAATTTGTCAAAGCTAGCTGGACCATCTCTATTTCCCCCTGCCCCACTGCTTTTGCAGGTATTCCTTGTCCAATTATTATCGCCTGGGCTGTCTGCAAGCTGCATTATGAAAACGAGCAGTGAGTACAACCTTTTCATCCATTTCTCATGACTGAGCAGCTGAGTCAAAAGGCTCCTTAGCAGGCGCCAGCGTCTGTGTGCATGCGCTCTAACCAGGGACAATGGAAAATGGAAATTGTCACGACGGTAGGATGGATAGGATTCTATCTGTCAGTTTTCAGAGCTGGGTGCTTTGAAGGAAGGGAGTCGCCACAAATTTTCAAGGACCCGACAGCTGTTTGAAGGCCATTTCTTCCCGATTCCTCACCTCATCCTTTTGCTAAGAACCAGCCAAACACTTGTTAATTGGATGGCATGTGAGAGCATGTGTAAACTCTGAAGGAGGAAAATATCGCCTCATCTCCACAGCAGACTTGAAAGTGAGGAGGTGCACCTCAGACATGTGACTATGTATGCGCATTGCAAGGGCTGTTGGAAACTTGCAATCTGCCATTACCGTCTCTGTTGAAAGGGAGCGCATACAATGGGGACGCACACCAGATTCACCCATTTCCTTTCCCATGCGCAATTGTGCTGAAAAACGAAATGGCATCTCAGAAGATGTAGTTGTGTGCAATCCTTCAAGATCAAAGCCAGCCTTAGTCTAGTTTAGTTGATAGTTGACTGTGGCGATCACACAGGGTCCCCGGACGTTTGACGGTCTATTGATCCCTGTGCCACCACTGTGATTGCCTCTTCGCTGCCACCAACCCGTTTCTCATTGGTACACACGGAGTCCAGACAGTTGTTAACATTAACAAATAATCAAGTTTATTTTATAGGGATGAACAAGCTTATGGTTTCAGTTAATTTTTCTTGGCAGTTTCTTAATCTTAGTTTCTTTTACTGTCCCATACGTTCCTAACAACTTCAAACTGATTATTCCAACTATCTATCTGACTCCACCTAACAGTTCCTCTCACTCTCTCACCACACAACACGACCAACCCACAGACTTATATCCTCCCTCTTCCTTCACCAACTCCCCACTCTCAACTGACTTTCACACAACTCCACCTCTCACTCTAACTCCTCCCCTCAGTTTCTCTCTGGCCAATCACATCACACTCATCTAATCCTTTCCTTATGACCCTCCTAGGAGGCAAACGCCACAGTGAGATTTGCACAAGCTTAAGAAACGATGTTCTGTTTGCAGGTGCTGGTTTGGAAAGGAATCGGGGAAGTATATAGACTACATCTACCAAGGACCAGTGATTCTTGTCTTGCTGGTAAGAAAAGAAAAGAAACAGCACTGGAAGCCTCCTCATAAATATGCAAAATTCCACCTGTCTCAATTTCTACCTGGATTTAAGGTTTTCATGTGACCTGACCGTGTTTACAGAGTGGTAAAGGTAAAGGGACCCCTGACCGTTAAGTCCAGTCACGGACGACTCTGCGGTTGCGCGCTCATTTCACTCTATAGGCCGAGGGAGCCAACGTTTGTCCACAGACAACTTCCGGGTCATGTGGCCAGCATGACTAAGCCGTTTCTGGCAAACCAGAGCAGCACACGGAAACGGCGTTTACCTTCCCGCTGGAGTGGTACCTATTTATCTACTTGCACTTTGACGTGCTTTCGAACTGCTAGGTTGGCAGGAGCAGGGACCGAGCAACGGGAACTAACCCCATCACGGGGGTTCAAACAGCTGACCTTCAGATCGGCAAGCCCTAGGCTCTGTGGTTTAGACCACAGAATAATAACAACAGCAACAACAATAATTTTAGTATTTATACCCCACCCATCTGTAGCCACTCAGGGCAGCTCCCAGCAGAATATAAAAACACGGGAAAAGGCGTTCCACAGGGAGGGCGCTACCAGCAAGAAAACCCTCTGCATTATCAATCTGCTATTGTTTTGCTTGCTGATGTCAATAATAATAATAATAATAATAATAATAATTTATTTATACCCCACGCATCTGGCTGAGTTTCCCCAGCCACCCTGGGCGGCTTCCTATCAAGTGTTAAAAACAATACAGCATTAAATATTAAAAACTTCCCTAAACAGGGCTGCCTTCAGATGTCTCTTAAAGATAAGATAACTGCTTATTTCCTTCACATCTGAAGGGCGCCACTACCGAGAAGGCCCTCTGTTTGGTTCCCTGTAACCTCACTTCTCACAATGAAGGAACCACCAGAAGGCCCTCGGCGCTGGATCTCAGTGTCCGGGCCAAACGATGGGGGTGGAGACACTCCTTTAGGTATACAGGACTGAGGCCTTTTAGGGCTTTAAAGGTCAGCACCAACACTTTGAATTGTGCTCGGAAACGTACTGGGAGCCAATGCAGATCTCTCAGAACCGGTGTTATGTGGTCCTGGCGGCCACTCCCAGTCACCAGTCTAGCTGCCGTATTCTGGATTAGTTGCAGTTTCCAGGTCACCTTCAAAGGTAGCCCCATGTAGAGCGCATTGGAGTAGTCCAAGCAGGAGATAACTAGAGCATGCACCACTCTGGCAAGACAGTCAGCAGGCAGGTAGGGTCTCATCCTGCGTACCAGGTGGAGCTGGTAGACAGCCGCCCTGGACACACAATTAACCTGCGCCTTCCTTTGCTGCCATCTTCAGTTTCACTGACAGTGGAACAGACTGCTAGAGGTTTTTAAGCAGGGGCTGGATGGTCGCCTACTAGGGATGCCATACAGCAAATTTCCTAAATTTGAACTAGAGGGCCTTTGAGGTCCCCCTGCCTCTATGCTATGCCTCTCTTTGGTACAAAAGGCAATTTTCCAGTCTAGTGTTTGACTTGATGCTACATGCTTCCGTAAGGCAAGTTGTGAGGTTATCCTTACACTGCAGTTGAGGTGAACGGTATGGAAATAAGAGGCGCTGCCATAACGCCAGAACTTGTGGACATGTGGGAGGTTCAAAGCAGACGAAAGAAAGCATTATATTTTATTTTTACACAGCGCTTGGTTGAACTATGGATTTCTCTCCCACAAGCTGCCATGATGGCTAGCAAGCTGGGCGGCTGTAACAGAGGATTAGACAATTTCATGGAGAAGGGTTCTGGCGCTTGTGGGTTTCACAGGCACCTAGTTGGCCACTGTGAGAACAGGTTGCTGGACTAGATGGGCCATTGGCCTGATCCAGTGCACTCTATTTACAAAGCTGCAGGTAAGGCAATGTACCATAAAGGTAAAGGTAAAGGGACCCCTGACCATTAGGTTGAGTTGTGGCTGACTCTGGGGTTGCGGCGCTCATCTCGCTTTATTGGCCGAGGGAGCCGGCGTACAGCTTCCGGGTCATGTGGCCAGCATGACTAAGCCGCTATCCCCATATTATTTGCCTACTTGATTTATAAAGCTGCAACACAGCAAAAGGACTCTAGGAAGGCAGCGGGGTGTAGTGGTTAGAGTGCCAGAGAGACCAGGGTTAAAATTCCCACTCAGTCATGAAGCTCCCTGGGTGATCTTGGAGATGCAAAAAAGAGGAGGGGTCATAGTATCATATGTGGTGGACATGTGTAAAGGTAAAGGGACCCCTGACCATTAGGTCCAGTCGTGGCTGACTCTGGGGTTGTGGCGCTCATCTCGCTTTATTGGCCAAGGGAGCCGGTGTACAGCTTCCAGGTCATGTGGCCAGCATGACTAAGCCGCTTCTGGCAAACCAGAGCAGCGCACGGAAACGCCGTTTACCTTCCCGCAGGAGCGGTACCTATTTATCTACTTGCACTTTGACATGCTTTCGAACTGCTAGGTTGGCAGGAGCAGGGACCGAGCAATGGGAGCTCACCCCGTCGCTGGTATTCGAACCGTCGACCTTCTGATCAGCAAGTCATAGGCCCTGTGGTTTAACCCACAGCGCTACAGAGCCACAGAATTGTCGCACTGGAGGGAACGCAGAGGATCATCTATGTAGTCCCTGCCATGCTGTGAGAAGAGATGACACTGAACCCTGGCTCAAATTCACCTCAACACTTGCAAAACGGCAGCAAGGCTTGGCGTACATATGTAGTTTTTTGAACCAATTCCGCATGAGATCCCAGCAAGGCTGCATGCTATGATCCTGGTACCACCACCTAACGGCACAAAGATGTCTTTCAGGCCCATCAGCAGCTGCAGGAAAGAGTCCTCTCTGCTGCTCCCCCCTCCCCCACCAACCTTTTTCATTTTGCTTTACCTCAAAAACAGCCCTTCTCTTGTTGCCTTGGGATTTGGTGGCTGATCATTCCTCAGCCGGGAACGAGACGACTTAATTGGCCGGTTTGCCATCTCCAAGGCTCCGCAGACACAATATTGTCAGCCCAGGTGAGAAGCAAGGCCAGGAAGGAAGCAGAAACCAGCAGAGGCCAATAAGCTCTTAATGACATTCCAGGCAGAGCCTCTCTCTTCCTTGCATAAAAGCATTCTTAGCAGTTCAAGCTGCAGAGAAAGAGATTGGAGTGAACCACCTGCAGACTGGGCTCCCTGCCCTCTCTCATAATAAACACCTTCTCTCCACAGTCTGCTGCTTGCTTATCGCAGGGCAAGGGGAAACGGAGCCGCTTGGTTGTTGGTTCCCACCAGTTTACATCCAGAGAGGGGAAATGTTCTTTTAGGGTGAATGTGGCATTGCCCAGCCAACCTCAGTCGGCCGTCAGCCAGCTCACACCTGCCTGTCTTGGTGGAGCAAGCGCTCCATTTGCCAAAAAAATGACCAGTCTTCTCTGCTAACACAGTTGTCCATTTGGAAAATGGGGATCAGAAACCTTTGTGGGTCTACTTCAAGCCATCAGTAGGTCCCAGAACATCTTCTTCCGACCTCTGTGCTATAGCACCAAATGTTAGGGGGGGTGGAGAGAGAGGGGGGTAGGGCCAGATTTAGGTTTGATGAGGCCCTAAGCTATGAAGGCAATGGGGCATTTATATGTCCAGCTGTCTTTTGTCAACAACAAACTGTCGCTGTTTTTTGTGTTGAATATATGCTATGTGGTAATTTTTGGACCTAATAGGTATCTAAAGCCATTTGCACATAACAAAATATGTATTTTATCAAAGCTATCAGTAGGTCCCAGAACATCTTCTTCTGATCTCTGTGCTATAGCACCAAATGTTAGGTGTGTGTGTGGGGGAGAGAGAGAGAGAGAGAGAGAGAGCGCTTTAAAAACTGTGACATGTGGCCTTTGTCACTCTATTTATGGAAATCATAATGGTAGGGGTTGATACTGCTGAGTGAATAAAAGGTTGGGTTTTTTTTACAATAGGCAACAGACTCGTAAAAGAGCCGCCGATTTGTGGGAAACGATGATAAATGCACTTAATGAGTTCCTTGAAACACGCTTGGCAGCAGATTCCCCTTAATTGTGTTAAGACAGCGCTACACGACAGTTTACAGGAACCTTCGCTGTATGTGTTTAACCGCTGCAAGACAGACCACCAGGAAGCCTCGAAAGGCGGAATGGCTTAGAACGGCTTGGGAATTATTCACTTTAGCGAATTTAACGCACCCCGTCAATTTTCTGCTTGATAGTGTCTATCAGCTCTAAACATGTCTATGAATTGCTGTTGGTCCTGGTAGACAAATGGGATCTCCATGTTTCAGGAGCGGTAAGCCTGTATATTTAGAAACACAGGAAACTGCCTGGTGTCGAGTCGGAACCATTTGTCCATCTAGGTCAGTGAAGTCAACACTGGCTGGCAGCGGCTCTTCAGGGTTACCGTCACAGACTCTCCTTTCTTGGAGGTTTTTAAACAGAGGTTGGGCAGCCACCTGTCAGGGATTCTTTAGCTCCGACACCTGCATTGCAAGGCCCCTAACACCACTAATAATAATAATAATAATAATAATAATAATAATTATTATTATTATTATTATTATTATTATTATTATTATTTATACCCCGCCCATCTGGCTGGGCTTCCCCAGCCACTCTGGGTGGCTTCCAACAAAATATTAAAATACAATAATGCATCAAACATTAAAACCTAGACAGCATCTTAAAAAGCTGTCGACATCACCTTGCCGACAAAGGTCCCTACAGTTAAAGCTATGGTTTTCCCAGTAGTGATGTATGGAAGTGAGAGCTGGACCATAAGGAAGACTGATCGCCGAAGAATTGATGCTTTTGAATTATGGTGCCGGAGGAGACACTTGAGAGTCCCATGGACTGCAAGAAGATCAAACCTCTCCATTCTGAAGGAAATCAGCCCTGGGCGCTCACTGGAAGGACAGATCCTGAAGATGAGGCTCCAATACTTTGGCCACCTCATGAGAAGAGAAGACTCCCTGGAAAAGACCCTGATGTTGGGGA